AAATTCCTGTGGATCGAAGTCCCTGTTATTGTTACTATTATAAGTAAATTCAAACCCTGCTGCTGCTGGTGATTGAAATGCCAGAAAAGTATTGTTATCAACAAGATTAATATCAAGATTGTTGTTGTCGTTGTTGTCGTTGCGTAAAGTTTGATCAATAAAATAAGAATTATTTAAATAAACCAAAGTGTTATTGTTGCTATTGATATTTGATTGTTGTGGGTTAGGGTTAATATTGCTCAAGAAATTGGTATATTCATATTTAATTGGAAGATTGTCGTTATTATTATAATTGCAATTAAAGCTAGAAGAATCAGAATTAGACTTGAAATTGAAATTAAAATTAGAGGAATTGATATTATTAATATTAATATTGGTATTATTAAAGTAAGATGTGGAAGTAGAGGATGATGAATTGGAGGATGGGGAATATGATGGCGAAGGAGGGCAAGGAGAAGGTAAAGGAGGAATTCTATTAGTATTGGTATTATTAACATTATTGTTGTTGTTGACATCTTTTTTTTGATTTTTATGTTGTTGTTGTTGAGCAACATCTTTAAAAATCCAATCTTTTAACGCCGAATTATTATCCTTTACTGTTTTTTTTTTTGGTGTGTACTTGTACGCAGGATAAATGGATTTGTGTTTTTCGTGTGCCAATTTTGACAGAATATCAAAGAATCGTTTAACTTTCATCGACTCATTTCTCCAATGTTCCCCGGCATCTGTTGAAATGTTTTTCATTTTCAAAGCCTTTTCCGGAAATCGTAATCGCTGTTTTGCTTCATAATCTTTACGAAATAGAACCCATGCATTTTGTGGTCTCGGAATTTTAATATATACAGGTACGCATATGTTTGCATATGGTAACAATGTAATCGATAGATTTTATATCAACGTAAAAAACAAACGACCTATTTCCTTATTTAATAAAATATTAAGATAATAATACATTGGTTTTTCTATTATTTCTCTGAGTTAATTAACAATAAATATAATTGGTTCAAGTATACTTTGTTACATACAAGGTTTCCTATATGATGAGATTTTGTCCAATCAAATGGGGTTTCATTTCTGTGATCATATGATCACATTCTATGGGAGGGGGTGCCGTTTAACCTTACGTTCAAGGATGATTTGTTAAGAATTTTGGTGACTATTATTAGTAAAGAAAAGGATGAAAAGCGAGAAAGCGAGACTCACTTTCTAAAATACATGATTTTCTGGGAAACGATTCAGCTAAAAAAAAATTTATGAAGTGTTAAAAAATGAACCGACATTTCATTGGCGGCCCTATCAACGTGTGACATATAATTTATGTACAAGTTGGAAATCGTCGTATATTTAATATGTAATAATATTAATAACAATTTCACGATCTTTATCTACATGATAAATATGAATTAAATTTAAAATAATTATGTTTAAACTAAACGACTTACTGGAAACAAACAATTACAACGATTAAAGCTATTCGACAGCTTAAGGCTTGTGTTGGTAAAAATGAAGCGCACGTCAAATCCAATGACATACAGTCAGGATTCTCCCGCTATATTGTTCAGGCACACAGCCTAATATAGTTATATGATAAATAAATACAACTGTGATTTCTAAAGGCAGGCATTCGTCCCTCCAATAAACAAAGTAAAATCTTTAACTAATAATTCGAACAATTAATCATTAGAAAAGGTCACGAAACAATTCACAATGGCTTTTCCTCTTCAACTATCCAACAATTCGTAAATACGAGATAATTTATAAAATGTGTTTATTTTAATATTGTTAATTAGTTAGTTATTACAAGTTATGTGTTTTAAAAACTATTTATTAAAAGTTATTATTTAAATAAATCTTTGATGACTAACTGTCTAATAGCAAAATGCTTCTTGATCATTATTTGATAATAGGAATGTAACAATTATCAAAATAATTAAACAATCCCGGTGTTGTCATAATTCGGACAGTTTTGATAAAGGATCCCATTACTATCTCTTACAAACATTTAACCATATAACCATGTAGTTAAATATCTGCAACTACAATTTTATTAGAAACCAATTTGGCAATTGCAAACTATATAACAGAATTTAGGCAAAATAATATTTTAAATAATTTTATTCTAAGAAAAAATTTTTTTATATCGTTGCTCGAGGATTTTGATATGATCGCTGATTCCTTTCGCCGCAGAAAATTATCGTCCCTATTGTGTTGAACTATCAAATATACCTTCTCGATCTTCACCTTTTTTAATTACAATTTTGATCTCTCACAAGTGTATCCCTTTCTATTTAAAAATAGGCCAATAAATTTTTAATCATTTAACAAATTGACGAGATAAAGATATAATAATAATAAATATACTGTATATATGGGA